TCCTGGGACTGTGACTCCACCTGCTTTGGAGCACCTACAGCAGAGACCGTGCCAAGGTACTGAGACCAGAATAGTTCTGCATTTAACTTGAATGACTTTGAATTCAACCTTGTGCCATGAAGTGTTGCAAAGTGGTGTGGTGCACCTGTATGACAGTGTGTTGCTCCACCTTTTGCTGCTAAAACGGTCCTGATCCACTGAGGCACTGAATCCACTCAACCCCTGAAGGTGTGCTGAAGTATCTGGCACCAAATAATAGGAGAAGGCTCTTCAAGTTTCATATATTGTGACGCTGGGCCTCCAAGAATCTAACTCGGTTTACTTCCTGCTTCAAACTGAACAAACTAGGTAAGTAAAGTTACTTGCAAACTTTACTTACCTAGTCAATCACTTGACTTGTATCTTCTTTACAAATTAATATAAAGAACTAAGGAAGAAAGTGCATAGGAATTATACATAGAATTTTCAAGATGTGAAAGAGTCAAAAATCACACTCTAGTGCATGTAAACTAGTTTCTCCACACAAGATAGATCTTTGAGACAAAGTATGTTGAACATTTCTGTAAGTATATTTAATTCTAGTTTCCTGTTTGATTTAAAGTCTTATACATAACTTTATTATTGGTTTGATTTGCTTGTATGAATTACTGGGGTTGCTGCCAACATTTCGTGTGAATTTCATGTTGGATGAAGCATAAAGTTTATACACCTTAACTTTTGTATTATACCTATGACTCTTTCCCAGCTAAATGTTTTAGCTTTGGTAGGACCTGTTCAACAGCACTATGATAAGCCTGAACATATTCAGGAGCATTTAAAATGAACGTACGCATGGTGCAGCTGCAGGAGAATAAGAGCATCAGCTTACGCACAGAGTTTCAAACACGCAGTGGCCCTACCACTCGTTGCATTTTAATAACTGTATATCCCGAACACCCTAGGGAGAGGTGCATGTAGGGCTGTGGATCAGTACGTAAAAGCTGTGAGGGGAAAGGGGCAGTCTGAGTCCAGAATTGACTTTTCACAGCACGTCCTCAGAGGTAATCAGTCATTCTGACTGGCAGTGTTTGTGCTAATGTTCACACCTGTTCGGTGGCCTCCTGCCTCATACATGTTACACAAGTGTGTTCCTTCCTGCCTAGAAATTATGTTGTGATCTCTCACTCCACCAAATGCTATGGGGAAAATCGAGAGATACATGGTTCCTGCTTGACTATGGCAGCAGGAGCAAAACTGTATCTAAATCTTTTGTTCCAGCACAGTAAAGCTGCTGCCTTTGTCCCTGAATATGCTGCTCTTTTTTTTTTCTAAAGATAAGAGAATAACAGAAAACAAAGAATCTATCCTGTACTAAGTGTTTCAGCTCATGGCTTTTAGTTGAATGAAATAATAAAAATTGCCTCGCTTCGCTCCATAAACATGATTAAAGCAGAGAGACCATCTTTATGCAAGATGTTTTATCCCTCCCTAGATTTTTCGCTGGCAGGTCATTTTATCTGCAGCGTCTGTGCACTCTCGCTGACTCTTATCACTGCTCAGCCCTTTACAAACAGGATCCATCAACTAACAATCAGACCAGAAAGAGAAGAGGTCACCTACACACTGATGCCTCCTGAATGATAGGCTAAAGAGAAAGTCTGTAACAAGCAGAAGATAAATCAGACGCATTTCAGTTTTGGTGAGCTTTCAAGGCCATGTTGCTTAGGGCAAACGAAGACTGAAGATAGACCATGAAGACAGAAAATTGGATTATGACATTAAAACAAAGGACAAAGTAAATTGAGTCACTTCATTGTGACTGATTCACGGAGCATTTATTCATGGTGAACAGCAGTGTCACAGAGCAGGGTGACAGTTATAATCTCATTTGAACAACAACAAATTATAATAATTATTAGAGATAAAAACATTTGGTAGTTAGAAGGTTGTGAGTTCGAATTCCTCCACAGTGTCCTTAGGCATGACATTCAGCCCTTGTTGGCTACCAATCTGCTCATCAGTGTGTGAATGCATGTTTGGACAAGTGAATGTAGACATTTTGATGGCTCAGAACAACCAGAAAATATTTCCAGTTAATAGATTGAACCTACTTTTGCTCGCAGAATGTTCTCATGTTGTAAATTCAATACGGTGTGAGAAATATTCCTCATACATTTCAGTCATTGTTGGTATTGCATTTCAGATTTGTTGGCTGCACGTTCACGATGTGACTCTCCTGTTCCACAGCTTCCCATATGCGATCAATTAGATTAAGATTTTTTGAAGTCTTGAGAGTGAACTGAGATCATTAAGTTCAAGAACCAGTTTGAAATGATTTAAGCTTTGTTAAAAAAAAGCAGGGTACATTGCATTAATAAAGTGAAGGACATAGTTAGCAATACTACTGTGACAGCGTGTAAAGCCAAGACCACCACAAAACCCCCCAAGCTGTTATAGCACCACCATTAGTATGAACCTGTGAATTCATCCTTTCATACTATTTGGCTGAATTGTAACCCTACCATCTGACTGGTGCAGCTGAAAGAGACTAAAGTCAAGACTAATCAGACCAGAAAAACCTTTTTATGTCGGTGAAGTCTCAGTTTCAAGTTGCTTGCTAATAGTAGTGACACTTAATATGTTCTGCTGCTGCTGTCGCCTACATATTCAAAGACTGCATTGAGCATAGGGTGAGTGAAAAAGGAACATTTGTGAAGGTAATGTTAAACATGTATAACACTATTAAACTGAAAAATCAGTTACCAATGGGGAATCATGTGCCATTCCTTACGTAGTATAAAAAAAAAACAGCACAAAACAGAAGCCATCATTTAGAATCATATCCTTCCTCTTTTCTTTGTAACAAAGACTCCCTCTCTAATATTTCCAGCAGTGAGCCCTCATCTCCAGCAGATGTTCCCCTGCTGTGAAGTACAAGAGGAAAAAGGCAGCTGTGGAGATGCTTCAGACCCAACTGTTGGCAGATTCTTTAGAAATTCTCTTGTGTCCTTACAGGAAAAATATAGATACATTTACACCTACAAAGCAATTTAAACATTGGGTTGTTTTTGTTGTGTTTTTTGCTTATGTTTTTGCGAAAAGTAGTGAATTCATCCTGTGCAACAAACAGATGGAAAATAACAGCCTTAACAGAATTCAGTGCATTTTAGGCTAAGGTAATTCAGTTTTTGGTAGAGAGGTTGAATTTAAATTTGGAAAGTCAGTTTGTACAATTCTGTGTAAATGTGAACCCAACTTAAAAGGGTGTTTTACATATATCAATATTTCTGAAAATAAATGCCTTTAGGGTTGGTTTACCCATAACACAGAGGGCTTTATGTGTAGATGTTCAGGGTGTCATTTGAAAAGTACATGGACATCCAATAAAAAAATATGTGACCTATTTGTCAGATGCTCCGTTAACATTTTTATTGCTTTTATGTATATGCAATCAATTTGAGTTGATGTCTTTTCTGCTGCTGAAAAAAGGACAAATATGTTGTAAGCTTTATGTCATTCCACACTTCTTTCACCTCATCCAAACAACACAGGTACTCTCCACATTTTTAATTGACTGAGTGGGGGGCAGTGAAGACGGGACTTCTCTAGGGTGCCATTTATTCAAGAATGGCTGCCAACCTGATTTCTTTCTTTCTGGCACTTTTTCCTCATGGATCAATACGGATTTGAATGTTCTAATCATGCAAATATCACATGAAAAGCAAGCATTTGACTTGTCCAACCAAAACACTTCCGTTTTCAACCATTTTAATTTTTCAGATTTTAATGACTATTTGTTTTTTGTTTTTTCTTTTTTTCTTTTGCTTCTACACATGTTTTTGTTTATTTTTTTCTTTTTTTTTTATTATTTCGTTTCATTTTACTGGGCATCTGAAAAATGTGATCATCATTTCAGAAGTTTAAAACTTTTTAAGAAAAATGAAACTTGCATATTGCAGTAGTTTTAAACAGATTGTTCTCTGTCTGCATGTACTGGATAACAGCAACGACTACACAGTCTCCTAATAATTTGATGGCATGACATTCATCCTGTCCTCGCAATGACAGTCATTTAGAGACTAATCAGCAGCATGTTTTGTGTCAGAAAACCATTCTCTTTAGAGATTTGCCCAGTCTCTGTGCTCTGCTTGTTTGTATTTGATACATGCTTCAGTGTTTGCAGAGATGGCAGCTGTGGACCTCAGTAATTGTCCTTGACAGAGTGGAAGAGAGCTGTTTCAGCTGGTGGAGATCAACATTGCGCTGGTTGTGCCAATCATGTGGCTCAACTCAGCCAGGCTGAGATGGATCAGCCAGTCACACCGTTAGAATAAAGTGACTCTTCTGTAATGGCCTGTCGGGATTTCATTTTCTAGGTGACAGAACACATTTACAGGACTGGGAAAGGCTCAGTTGCTGATGGGAAGTTATTCTTGGAGGCAAGGCAGTGCAACAAAAAGGGGTATTTTGCTCTTTTTTTTGACAAAATAAATATTTTTATCATAAAAAAAAGACTTTGGATTTCAAAGCACAAAGTAAAACAAGGTATATTCTAAATTAAATTGAATGCCATCAAAAGGATAATTTATTCTTAACCAAACTTGATCATTAAGTATTTTCCAGACACAGTGCCATTTTATAGGACAGTCAAGTAACTATGTTACATTCAGTTGTTATGGAAATGCTGTATATATCAAAAATAAAATAAATTTGACTTCATAATATGACACCTTGAAATAGGGCCTCTTAAAAAGTTCCTACTTTGACAACAGTGCTCCTCCATTATGCCAAGTTTCTCTTGAAACTTTGTGGGGATTTTGTTTTGGTAGTGATATGGGTCAACCGGTACACTGCTGCTGCAGGTCTAAGGGTTTACATAGAAACCTGGCCGCATAAAAAAATACCTGCTGGATAACATAAAGTGCATTGTGGCGCATGAAACCAGTAATGATAGTCATAAATGATAATTACAAATGTGCAATCTTGTTAAGATGTCATTGTCTGTGCAGCTTCTAACCTCAGAGCCTGTTCCGTCATGTGTTGCCTCTCCCCTTCAGTGATGTTTGTCTTTGTTTCCTACGGAGGATCCTTTCACATCAACCTGGCACTTCCCTCACAATCTGCATTCAACCCAAACTGTGGAGCCCTGTAATCACAAATTCCCCATATTGTTTATAGCTCAGTGAGTCAGTAGCGTGAACTGGTTTACCTGTGGGCTACAGCGGGAATGTCTTCAGCATCCCCGACAAGAACAGACAAAAACTCTGGCCTCAGGAAGCTTCAGTGATTCTCGACTTTCGTTACCTGCTCCCCACTTCGCTCCGTCTTCTTCTCTACTTCTTGCTGTTGCTGTTTACCATGTGAAGCCGAAACCAGACCAAAGATACATATAATTTTTTGCACACTTGGCAGCATCTGCCAGCAGTTTTCCTTTTTTTTTTTTTTTTGCACAACTTCTTCCAGCGCTCTCTCATTTGTCTTTTCATTCGGTGCCTTTTATTATAAGGATTTATGCCCTCACTTAACAGTTGCCAATCTGGCAGCGACAGTTTTGGCATAAAACCTTTACTTGAGGCACAGTTAAAGCGCTGATGTTCTTATTTTAAACATTTGATAGATAAAATCTGCCTGTGATCAACAAATGATTGCAGAGCAAGAGTTTAAAGAGGAAGAGCTTTTTTAATTCAACTAACTCTGAAGGTTTGCCTCACAAATGTAACTTGTCAGCCAAAGCAGCTGATCCACACAGTCTGCATGATAGTTCATCTGTATATCTAGCATGAGTTCAAACCAAGTCTTTAAAGGACTAGAAGACAGATTTTATTGCTAAATCTGACATTCAAGGGGTTAAGCATTGGCATTCATAAAATAATTGGAACAAATATGTTGATAAATAATATTTCATTGTAATTTTTAAAAGGGGTTTTGTGTGTTTCCAATGAACACAGGTAGAGCTCATAATAAAATGCCTTAAGTGGGTTAAAGCTTCCTGAAATGTATTAACAAAGCAAAATCAGACCATTACCATAAACAAGAATCTTGTCTGATGAGGAGATAGTCTTTGTGCTACAGATAAATAGATGTGTGCTCTACCTAATGTCATGTTGTTCTGGTATTGGAGTGTTTGGCATTCTCATCTTCTAGCCACCTGTTATGTGAATAGCTAAGCTTCATTCATTCTGCCTGGGTGATATTCACACCGATCACAAGTGAGACTCTCTGCTCGGAGCCAGCTGACTGTAACAGAAAATGTTCAAATCGATGCTCATTCCACGTTTTATAAGGGAATGTGAGCACTTTCCCTTCTCTCCCTCTCATCTTCACCCTCTCTTCTTTTTTGCCCTTCTCTCTCTCTCTCTTCATCTCTGCCCGAAGTCGCCATGGGTTGTATCCATTAGCCACTCTGTCTGCTTTCCCGTTTACAGAAGTCTCCCTTTAAATCCCAATCTGAAGTGACTATACCCCGGGGCCTTAAGGGACTTCATCATCGCCGTATCCATCTCGCACCTGGAAAACTGGAATCAAATGGCCCAGGAAGAAACTCATTACTGTGGTATTCCTCTGTGGTTGTAAATTGCGATTTGAAGGATTGTGAATTTCTTATGCAGTTTTTGTTTTTTTTCAACACACTAAAGAGGTGTGGAGAGATGCAAACTACATCGACTTGATTAATCTGGGCTCTGCTGGTCTCAGCAAGCAGCAGAAGCAGCGTTTCCAGACTCGGATGGATTTCACTGCACAGAGACGCCCATCGAGTTACAATATGGCAATGTTTACACTTGCTCCGAGCCATGTAATAGGGACACCGGCTTGCATAATAAGTACTATTCTGGAAGTTAAATTTTAATCCCCCAAAGAGTGCATCACCTGAGAAAATTAAGATCCAAACAAGCATGGAAAGTCATCTCTGTATTTTAATACCATCCTGAAATAACACCAGCTGTATGTAGAAAGAAGCTCGCGTGAGTTGAATTTGTTGACGGAATTCAAAATATTTCTGAGCACATGAATATGAAATACAAAAGCATTTTCAAATGAGCAGTGGTAAAATAAAAAATGCATTACAAAACTATCCACACCACTTTAACCTTTTAGCTTTTCTTTATTTTCTTTTGAGCATTTTTAAAGGTTCTATTCAACTTGGTTACATTAATTTAATCTTGGTTTGTCCCAACCAAAAGGAAACTAATCATAAATAAGTCAAAAGAGATGCATGGTTTAAAATATGGATCGTCATGCAGTGGGGATGTTTTGCTTAAACAGGGGCAGAGGAGATGGTCAGAGTTGACTGAAAGATAAATGGATATTAATGGACAGCGGTCCTCACATTACAGATGTTGAGGGCTGCAAAAGCCTTGAGGCTTGAAGCTTTATGTACAGACTTAACTATTGGATGGCTCAGATCAAAGCATTTTGATATGTTAGAAATAACCCAGTCAAACTCCAGACCTAAATAGAATTGTGCATCTGGCATGGAAATTGATGTTCACAAACAATCTATCAGGGCTGGACTGGAGCCAAAAAAATGGCCCAGACATTTTTGGCCATGGTGACCCACAATTTATATATATATATATATATATGGCACACAACATATCAGAGGATATAAGTGCATGTTGTTTTGCTTTAAAAGTTAAAACAAAGCACAGAAGTCTACAAGGAAGAGTAGTAAAAAAAAATTGCCATGCTCTTCCACTACTTGGAGATTTTCTTGGGAGAGATGGCTACAGTGTTACAATTCCCATCTTGGAGTGAAAGCGAATATCAAAGAAACACTTATTAAATAGAGGGCTCTTCATCAAAGTGCCACCTTTCAGAATAAAAACAGTGAGAGGTTTGCAAGTTCTTAGGTTGCCTCCCAATGATAAATCATCTATTTCAGCAAAGCAATGTTTAAATAATATTATATCCTATAAGTTGTAAACCCTGAAAGCTATAACTCCATGGCATGCTAAAATAACACTAAATTGGACACCAAGTTTGAAAATCAACCGATGAGTGTCACGCCCAACAAAAGTCATTTATAATACACCTTTTTCGGTGACATTATGACAGCTTCAGGGCGGCCTGTAAATGGGCATCGGCCTACTGGGCATTGCCCGGTACGCCAGATGGCAAGTCCACCTGACCGCCATCCATTCTCACTGAGCTTGAATTCTTTTGCAGAGAAGAATGGATAAAATATAATGAAAATATTGTCTTTCTCAAAATATTTCACATTCATACTGCTTTACACAGTTTGTGCTTCAGGGCTCTGAACTGTTTCAAGGCATCATAAGTCAAAGTGCAGCTAAATAAAATACTCTGACAATACTGGCACCTCTTTAACATACGCAAATATTCAATCTATTCACCTTGGCTTCACAAGCAGCACAGGATCATAGACTCTCCAAGTAGTCAACTCAAAATCCAAATAAGTGTGTTTCAAACATTATATTTCATTTATAGCTGGTCCTGGCTCATTTTTTTCCCTGTCAGCTTCTCATACATGTGTTCGACTTGAAGCGATTTGGTCTCCAGCGCTTCTAATTTTCCTCTGGGAGCACGCTCGTCTTGAAGGGCAGCCAGTCCTCTCCGTTTCTCATTTACATGACATTATTCAGTAGGCTCCATTTCCTGTTCCCATGACCCCTTGATGTCTTCAACCCTGTGTCATCTGGCATTACCTCTGCAGAATTTAATTTCTGGTGAGCAGAGCATCCTGACAGGGCTGCCCATGGATCCTGTGAGGTCATATTGTTGGAATAATATAAAGTCGATGTGCACAGAGAAATGGTGTTGTATTGAGCCCTGCATTGCACTATTATGCATTTTTATATTATTTCGGAGATAAAAATGTCATATACCATTATTTTTTTTTATATACAAAATCAATTAATTTAATACATTAACTATATTAGAAATAATCATTAAAAAATATTTACAAATTTTAGTACATTTAAACAATACCAAAAGGAAATTAAATTAATGTTGCAGCCTGTTTACATCTCAGGGGAAATCAGCTAAGAGGAAACCAGCTGAATAATCTGCCAATAATTGATGATAATTTACAACGAGGCCACAAATGTTTCCAAACAATAAAACTATTTGCGCCCATCCGTTACAAACTATTCTTTATGCGGAGGCTATCTGGTTAATTAGATCCAGCATCTAATCAATGTGATTTCTGAGCAATCGCTCGTAAGTCATTGTGCAACAACATTGCCAACGATCACAGATTTACAGGACTGTCGATACACTTTTCTAAAATGATATTTACTCTTTTTCCATGAACATCAATTCCCACCCTGTTGATGCAGGTTATTGATTGGCTGAATCCCTGCTGAATATTAAAAAACAACTCCTTCAGATATCAGGTGTTCCTTTTAGCCTCTGGCCTACACGCTGTGTGACATCTGCCCGAGAATACAGAGGGTCTGAGATTCAGGGAAGCGCTATTGCCTTCCCGGGTTTTCCTACGAGAACCTTCTGAACGCTCTCATTCACGATGCTCAGGTGTTGCTACACTATCATTAGTGGTCAGTGTTTCTGGGAAGAACAACCCAGAGTATGCGGGAATACCAAGATGTAGGAGGTGCTGAGGTGGAGAGACCTGTTGAATGTTTTCCACCGATTAGCTGAGGATCAAAATATAATCAGGACTCTCTGCTTTGAGCTGTAGCTTGAGGGTGGTGGAAAGTGTAAGTTGAGAACAGTTGAGTTTCCAAATTAAAAACCTGGATGATAATCAAGATGGAATTAAAAAAAAAATGAGGAAAAAAAAACACTCTTTTGCATTTCAAAGTCTCCTGCAGTAAAAACGACAGAAAACATGCAGACACAAATCTGAGTCACAAATGAGTTGTTTATAGGTAGCTGTTCTGTAAACATCATTATACCGCAGGTCACCCAGGACACAAATGCGTTAGATCATCTTTTCTGTGCCAAAATGTGGTTACCCTCCTGAAGAACAAACACAGTTTCCTAAATACAGTCCTGTGAATCTAGTCAAAAACCGATGAGACTTCTCTGGCAAAAGAAACTTTCCGAGATCTTTGAAAAAGTTCCCGCTCAGAATAATTTATAAGCCGGTTTTAATGAAACTTTCCAGTTAGCACACATTCCTGTATTTTAATTTTTGTATTGGTCTGACATAATATTCTGAGA